ACTTTGGCCTTTTTGGAAACACAGGAAGGAGCAATCAGCTAAGGGAGCTTAGTGCTTGGAAAAAATCTTTCATTCCTTTAGAGACAGCATGAAAAGTCAGCTGAGTACAAAACATAGAGAGGAAAACAAGAAGAAAAGGGACAAGAAGAGAGGGACACAACCTAGAACAGATAATGGATGTCTATTCTATTAACATTTCTCTATCTGGAGAATGGGGCTGTTTTATTTCTTGACTTCTCCATTCAGAGGGCCCCCTGCCTGTCTTTGCCTAGGTCCCCAAATTTCCTAAATCCGACCCTGCTCCAGAGTCCAGCTGTTGTTTTATACTTTTTTTTTTCACTTTTTGTGATCTTACTACTAAAAATAACTGAAAAAAAACTGCAGCAAGCAGCCATTTTGCATTAAAAACATGCAGGTTACATTAAAGGATCAATTATTTCAATACTTTCTATTAAAAACCGAAGGTAGAAAGTATTGAAGGTAGAGGCCGAACAATAACTCGTCCTGACTGATATATCGGCCGACTCTAATTGAAGGGAAATTCTTTACTTCCATTACATACAAATTATTCTCCTTTTCTTGGTGGTTTTCTGCGTTTTATTTGTTGAAGCAATTCAAGACATGATAAACTCAAATGTTTCCCTATCGTTGTTCACTCCTTTGGTCTCTTTTGAAGAAAAATGGGAGAAATGTGCCTGACTTTAACCTGTAACAGTGTTTTTTGTATTTTTCAGGAGTTCTCTACAATCAGTTCCTGTCCCAGGCTGACTTTGAGGTTCTGCGAGACCGAGCTCAGGTTGGAACTTCCTCTAATGTTGTCAGAATCCCATTAAACCAACATGGCGGATATCCAGCAGGCCATCAGTGATCTTAGGAGCAGGGAGTTAATCCAACCAACGAATTAAATCAGAAATATCTGGACCCTGCAGGCCCTCTGATAGACTTCTGCTGTTAGAGTCTGAAAGTCAGCGCTGATAAGAACCACAATCTTCACTCCTGGTCTTGGTAAAACTAAGGAGAGAGGAAGAGTCCAGAAAGTCATCCAGGTTCCATCCAGCCAGGCTATAATAGTGGGATTAATCCGGATTAGCAGATTATTGAAATATTCAACAAGTTTAGTATTCAAAAAGTCTTTAAGTGGAGGGAAGCGACTCTGACAAGGATATATGCGTAAAGAAGAACCCAGACAAAGCCAAGTTTACTGGAAATAGATTTAATCTGAATTTAAAAACCTTCTTAGTCTGTAAATACGCTTTAGGCAGAACTCCTCAAGTTACAGCGTTAGCTGGATTCAGTCATAAACCCTTTGACCTCAGAGAGGTGATTATGATCATTATTATTAATTGGATCTAATTTTGTTCCTGGGATTTTCCGATCTATAATCTATTTCTATGTGTTTGTTAACGTAACTTTATAGCCCCATTTCCACTACGCTCTGAAACTGATCCGTGCCGAATTCGGACCGAGCTTGGATCAGTTAACCGTGCCGAGCTCGGTTCCTTATGACCGTTTTCACACAAAGCTAGCACGGTTCCTCACCTCCTAGTGGCGATCTATGGTACTACTGCTCTCTAGAGGTAAACAAGAAATCAACATGGCGGCGCCCGTAACACTCAGGAAGTTATGTTATAATTGTGATATTTCGTTGTTTGCCGAGAGTCAAGCGAAGAAGGCAGCCTTTGGAGAATTTACTTGACAGAGTCGGCTTTTGGGAAGTGGATACGACAAATGATAGTCTAATCAGGGCTTACAGAAGCAGGAACCAACAACAGACACTGAGGTTCATCGCATTGCTAAGCAGAATCATCACTGGAAATCGTACGGGACGGTAGTGAAGCTAGGATTTTTATGAATGTCTGAAATTGCATGATCACGGAGGCTGACTGTAGGAGATGAGGCAGTCTGCTCACGCGCTCTTTGTTATCTGAGAACCGAGCCAGAACAGAACCTCGCCGAGGCCTACTGATGAACTAGTACCATGTTAACGCGGTTCTGTTGTGTCTGGCACGTTTTGGTTCGGTTTGCGTGCCAATTACACTCAACATTTATCTGTAACCTTGCTCGGACCGACCTCGGCACAGTTTCTAAAAGGTAGTGAAAAGGAAGTAAAATAATGCACTACATACCTTTAATTACCAGATCCAGGTGAGGCCTTTTAATTCATTTAGCAGATTTCAATATTAGGACAATTTAAGGAGCCGAACATAATAGGAAATAACAGGGAAAAGAACTTTGCAAGAAAATAAAAAAAAAATCAACAATAAAATGATTGGAAAAAAACAGTCAAAGGTGTCTTTAAACAACTAATTTTGAATGATATCTGTGTATCATCTGCATAGTAGATGATAACTGATAAACCTCTGTTATTATAAGTTATGCTGTTTAATTAGATCTGAGTTAGATGGAGCTTATAGATAGTGTATAGGGGCCTTAATACGTAGCCTTGGGGAACGCCACATCTAATGTATCTGGTCTGTGAGGGCAAATAACAGAGGGGCGACCCAGCTCTCTGCCGCTGTGGCAGTAAAAGGTGAGCTAACGCCATGAGACACTGAGCCTTGTTTCCTGTGGCTTTGCAGGGTTTGGGCTGCCTGGTGTGGCAGGATGTGGCCCACAGGGTGATGGTGGTGACCCCCCACGGACACAGCGAGGTCAAGAGGTTCTGGAAGCGACAGAGGTCTCAAACGTGACCAGAGAAAGAGGCCCACAGAGAAACCACCATCGTTGTACATTTCTCTTTTTTTTATTAAATTGATGAGTCCTCCTACTTGCTTCATGTTTTGAACTTCTCTGCTGCAGATAAAGTGTTTAGTAAAGTGATTAAATAGTTAATTTGGTATTTTAAAATGACAACTTTAAGACAACCATCATAAAATTCTGTAAAAACATGGCTGCGTGAAAAATGTGTGTATATATATATATATATATATNTCCTCCCTTGCTTTGCTCCGTCTTTTCTTTGCTCTTTCTCACTCTTGTTCTCCTCCTAATCCTGCTTCCCATTTCTGGTCGTCTTCCCCAGGAGACGCTATGAGAGCGAACGCTCTGCCGTTAAGTAGGACCACTTTATCCTGTCAATACCTTCAGCAGAGCGTTATTGACTTGAACTTTGAGAGAGTCGCTGTGTGACAAAGGAGGGAAAGAAAGACTTGAATACAAACATGTTTAAAGGGGAAAAATGATTTGTTGATGTTTTTAAAGGAAAAGTTTGATACTTTAATCCGTTTTTTTTGCTGTGATCAATGCTTATTAATTCATACATTTACATATGAATTCTGATGTGTTCTTGTTATTATAAAGTCTTCATTCAGGTACTGTCAGCCTACTGGTGTTAAATTAATGTTAAAATCTTTGACCAGTGTTCCTAATTTTCTTTGTAAGGTTGGTTTATATTTGGAGTGTTTCATTCTGTACTTTCTACAAATGTTTTGGATTTTTGTCTATCCATGATGTTTGCTTTCCAAGCGAAGAGTCTCTTCAAATGTTTGATGCAATCTCAAAATGTTGATACTTGTGTAATTGTTAATGTCTCTTAAATTCTTAAAATAACTGCGCTGCTAGTACTTTAAGCTACAGTAACTGGGAGGTTTTTCATATCTTTTTAAAACAATCAGATTTGTCAAAATCATGGAGAAAAAAAAAAGTAAACTTCCTCCGGCACATGCAAATACAGTATATTTGTGTTTCCTTGCACACAAAAGAAGTAAATATATTTATTGATTAATTATCTATTTATAATTGACACATAACAATATATAGAAAGTAAGATTATATTGCATTAGTATCCCCATATACAGAATACAACCTGCTTAACAATAAAAACAGTGTCACTTGAGAAACGTAAGAAGACAAAGTGCTAATTTATGCAGCAATTGTTGGTTTGTAAGGTATGTGACTTAAATAAATGTTTATATATATATATATATATATATATATATATATATATATATATATATATATATATATATATATATTTAGGAAATAGATTTTTGTTACTCTAGACGGTTGATTCACTGTAGTCCAGAAACTATAGACTGAGCTAATCCTCGGTGTGCTGACATTTTCAGTTTTCATTTAAAAAGGGAAACAATTATCTGACAAACACAGAAATGTGTCTTACGTAATCACAAGGAAGATTGCTGAGTGGACAAGCAGGCATGGAGACTTCCCAAGGAGAGCAGAACACAAAGACGTGAAAGAAACTTTCGTCTCAGTCCTCCTCCTCAGGATGGCATACAGACATGAAAACAGAAAATATATCATTTCGATTTTATTTACTATCTGGAGGCCTTGATTCTTTAAACTAAGAGATAAAGACATTTCCTACATTTAGTGATGAATCTACGTTTGACTTGCTAGAATGAACCACAAATAAAATGGAAGTTTTTATTGTTGCACAGGTATTTTTTCTAAGAAAAAGAAAGATTGAAAAATTCAAGGTTTATTGTGATCTGATGAAGAATATCAGTCTGTTAGAATCGTGTCACGCTGTGCAGAGATCAGCTGAGCTGCAGTCAGTTAACCACTAAAACTGGGTTCCTGTTTCAATGCAAATGAAACATTAATTTTCAATTAATCATTGAAATAAAACTTAAACTAAAACAAAAAAATAAACGTGTCTCGGAAAGAATCCGATGACGGTTTCTGCCGTTCATTCAGTATTCCAGGGGCCATAACTCTGTCCATATATTTCTGCCTTTATTTCTAATTATGTCAAAGTTGGTTCTCCGTATTTTTTTATTAAACCAGAATCTACGTCTTGAAACAAAACTCTAAACCAGGGGTCACCAAAGCACTGCCCGCTTGTACCAATGGGCCCCTAAGGACCACATGGGGGGCCCTCAGGATCTTCTGAAAACAGAGCAACTCACCAGTGGGTTAAGTTTGGAAACTATGTTAGATTCTGTTCTTTTTTAAGCATTTATAGAACATTTTATATCATATTTCATTGATATCATCTAAGCATTTATGGTGATTTCCAAATGACAATATGTAATAGAAAATTAGAAATTCAAAGAAACTATAAGAGTTTGTTTATTTTGGATGCAGTTTAGGTGAACACTGACTCCTCCAGCTCATAGTTCAGCATTGGTAGACCTTACTATGACTCAGTACCACTGATCTCTATTTATTCACTGGATTGCTGATTCCCCGAAAAAAGTGAAGCCACCGGCCACCATATTGGGACTCCCCACTCCCACGGAGACGCGGTAAAAACGCCCTCATGTGTGGCATTTTGCTGCAAGAACAAGCAGTTCTCCAGCTGTGGGAAGACGTTTCACATGTCAGTGGATGAACTAAGCAATAATCCATCTATAGCCGATGGATCCTATGGTTTAGTCTGCAGACTAACATTAGTCTGGCTATCTCAGACTGACTGGAAGACATTGTCTGAGTTAGCCACTGACATTGGGTCTAATGTTAGAAAATAGAAAGTAGAGGAAATAGAAAGTCATTGTCAATGAAGTAATTCTTTAGTGGATGATGCTGTAGTTTTTGTTGTATTCCTCATTTGAAAAAGTCATGTGCTGAAATATATTGCATGTTATATTAAGGGGAAAAAAGCAACTCAAACATCTTTAAAGACAAATGCACAGAAGTATACGGCATCATGCATGCAACATCTGCTAATAGGAAAATACAGCATTAACAGACATGTACTACTATCACCATAGCAATGTAACCAATACATGCATATTACATGTACATATAATATTAATTATATTTTGAAGGATTTGTATAATATATTATAATACATGATTTATAGACTTAATTGACTTCATAATGACTGCAATGTGATGGGCCTATTTTTCTATTATAAGTTACATTAATCTATTGATGCTGTGAAACAGCCAGTGTGTATCAAAGTGATAAATTTATCTTTATTTTAAAAGTCTTAAGCCCCTCTGAAAATGAGAACATCTCTGTCGTTTGATGCTGTTGCGCACATATTGTTTAAATTGTGACCGGTCTAACTAGGGAGTACCAATATGGCGGCCAGTGGCTTCACTTCAACCCCATGCTACCAACGGGCAATCAGCAATCCGGTGGATAAATAGATATCAGTGCTCAGTATCCATAAAGTAGCTCTCAGCATTGTAAAGGTTGGTGACCCCTGCTGTAAAGGATTAAAAAGTATAAATTGGAACCAAGTGGAAACGACTCATCACCTCCCCTGAGTGATCAGAGCCGCCCCCCATGTTGTTCTGCCCTGGGCAGTGAGCCATTATGCTCCATTTTAAGCTCCCTTATATTCCCTATCTATAACAGAAAACTATAAATGAGTCTTCTGATTTTTTTTTCTGTCACAGCATCATTAAACAATGATTTAATAGTTGATTTATTGTCCCCGCATCATTGTGTTGCTTCTAACTTCAATTTTATAACTTTATTTAAATTATTGGCTTCCGCAAAACGCGATGACAACAATTACAGATTATTTATTATAACTTTTTAATCTGTTATTCGGTGAGAATGAGGAGAAATGAAGATGACAGACTGGGAAGAAGCAACACAAACACGGACGTATGCAAAGCACGGGGCCAGCCACGCGCCGCCGCTCGTGGAGGCTGCGATCTCGCGTGAAATTCTCCGAGATCCCAACCCGATCTTTAGCGGCGGTGAGGCCCCGGGTGATGGGAAGGGAAAGGTGAGCACCGAGATGTTTCCGTCCGCTGCAGGGGGCGATCACAGCGGGGGGAGGAGGGCGGCTGAGGAGGAAGAGCCGCTGGATCCCGATCCGAAGGAAGAGCCGCTGGATCCCGATCCGAAGGAAGAGGCGAGCAAACATGAGGAGGAACTGGATCCCAGGATCCAGGTATGGAATCCTTTCTTTTGCTGCAGGTTAATGTTGAACAAAGTCCCTCCTTGTTTCTGGATGCTGCAGCCTGCATGTCCTCTAACAGAGAGCGTTTAATTCATGGCTGATTTCTGTGTTTATCATTGAAGCACATCTTATTTGGTTTCCTCAGGAGGAGCTGGAGCGGCTGAACTTGGCCAGTGAGGAGATCAACAGACTGGAGCTGCAGCTGGATGTGAGGAAGCTTTCTTCTTACTCTCCCAGTTTAACCAGTAAGCTCTGGACCGGTGCTTTTCAGAAACTTTACAGGTTTAGGTAGTTTCTTTCGCAGCTGCTTCCTTCCAGGGGGGCGGGGCTTAGCAGGCTGCACCTGGATCACCGACTTCCGGTGAAGCACATCCAGGGGAGCTGCTGCTGGTGGACCCAGTGGTACCATGTTTGGAGAAAACATGAATCACTGCATAGTTTCCTCTTATTTCTCTACTGGAGCTCATGTCAACAGGCTGCTGCTCCTTCCTGGAGGAAAACCAGCTGGGTTAGACCTTCAAACCCACTGGACCAGACCCTCAACTCCTGCAATAATCCACTCCCTGCAAGTTCTATAAGAACATGTAACCGGATAGATCAGTTCCTGTGCCCATCTGTAGACCTCCATTCTCAGTAATCTAACCCAGGGCCGGAGCTAGATGGGGGGCCATGGCCACCCTTAGCCACTCATTGGCCACCCGTTCATTCTTTCCTTCTAAAGCCAGGCGTACACTGTACAATTTTTTGCCCTTTTTGGGCCGACTGTCCAGTCCTGCAAGAATTTTTCGATAGGGCGTTCAGCCTGATCATTCGTGGTGTCGTGTACAGGGGGTAACTAGGGGCGATCAGCCTCTCACGACCACCTGCCCATCAGGAATCAGGAGAAAATCAAACATGTTTGAAATTCAGTCAGCCGACATAAGGTGGGAAAACAAAGACTCTTCTTCTTCTTCCTCTCAGATGTAAACACAGCAGCATTGCGGAGGTGCAATGAGTGAAATGGAGTTCTTTCTGTCAAACTGACAGACCGTAGTAGCCACGTTAGCTCAGCCATGTCTTTGTCCAAATACGTCGTCTCCTTTTCTTTTTAGGGCTTTCAGCACAAAATTGAACAAATTACCAAGGCAACGCGTTTCACTATAGTGAGCTTCATATTCCTCTTCTGGCCGCTTGGCCTCCGGATAGACGAGTCCGAGTAGCGCTATCTCACTGTGGAGCTGAGTCCGACGTGGGTTTTAGATGTACAGTGTGAGCAGGTAGATCGCATCAGAGCGTCGGGTCGCACAGTGTGAGAACAAACATGATAAGCTGTGAGCTGTACGAGGAAATCCTGTGGTTTCATCGTACAGTGCGAGCTGTAGCTGCGTCCAGCGATTGAAAAAACTCGCACAGTGTATGACCGGCTTAATACAGACCGTGGCAGCTGTAATACTGCTTTATTTAACATTAATATTTTTCATATATTAACAATTACTTGACCACAAAAACACTGTGGTTAATTATGCACATCAGTATACTAACATTAAAATGATAAATACAGAATTCCTGCTCTTTTCAGAACTAGATTATGAGAAAATGATGTCTCTGCAAGTCATCTAAGAGTCTTCAGTGAAATGGGAGATAAATAACTATTTTAATAATAACTTAAAGCTACAGTGTGTAACTTTTAGCGACATCTAGCGGTCAGACTGCAG